AAATAATTATTTTTATTTTATAAAATTAAAAATATATATAAAAGTTAATAAAAATATATAATTCAGTTCTTTTTTTTTCACTTTTCGATCCGAAATCTTATCCAAATCTAAGATATACATTTAATATTTGAACTTAATTTAAATAAAATAAAAAAATTCTAAACCAAGCCAAATGCTACGATGTCGAATCGATTTTTAGTTTTCTCAATTTTTTTCTCACTTCTATCCTAAACCTTATAAGTTCCTTTCAACTCTCAAGAAGTCAATGTCATATTGATGCCAACGTGTGTCATTTTTTAAATACAATTAACCAATCATAAAGCAAAATTAAGTTAGATTTAATTTAGTTGGTTCATATAATTATTTTTAAAACAAAACTTACATGAAGCTTTTTAGGTAAAGTTTATGAAGTTCTTTCTTAAAATTGATTTAATAAAAACTTAAATAAAAAATTCAAACTAATAGATTGATAGAATTTAATGTGAAGATGAATAGTATGTAAAAAAATTATTTAAAATATCATTAATAATTCAAATTTAATCGATATTAATTTAATGATAAAAATTTTGTTAAAATTGTAATAAAAAATACTTATCTAAAAAATAAATCAAAATTTATTTTTTTAAAATTTTATATATTTGGTTTATATAGAAAAATCTTTCAATATATTAATTTTAATTTTTTATTTTAGTTTTTATTTAATAATTTTTATTAAAAAATTTCATGAACTTTACCTAAAAATTTCATATAAATTTTTTTAAGAATTAATATTAAATAAATTTAAAATTCAAATTCTAACACTTGTAATATTTTTTTATTTCCAAATTATGATATTTTTGTAAAAAAAAAAATTAAGCCTTATTTAAGGAGGGGAAGTGAAAAATGGTTAAGCAATCTTTGCAGTGATCATTTGACCAAATTTCTGTGGGAGTAGTCGGCTTGAATTGAGACTAGATCAATAAAGGGTAATGATAAGAGCGGTTAATTCAAACCAAGAGGGTAGAAGAACGTGGGCAGCCTCCAAATTCCATTTCTTTGGCCGATATGTGCTGGAAAGTGAGAAGTCAAGCTAGGTGTACAAGCAGGAAGCATGTGGGTGGCCATCGCACATTAAATATTGTTAATTTTAAAGGACGGTGCCAAGGGCAACTTTATCTTTTTATGTTTCACCAAACCACTCAAGTAGCAATGACAAGGGGTAAGATACCGTACCCGAATTTGATTATATTTCATGATATTTGAATATTATATCTATTCGGATATTTTTTATTTTTATTATCAAATTTTATCTATATAATATAAAGAATATTCGTTAATTACATGAATTCATTAAATATTTATTTATTAAGTAAAAGTTTGACTTTTAAATTCAATTAAAGTAAATTTTAATAAATATTATTAAGAAAAATTTAATTCATAAATGAAATTTAATTCATAAAAAAATAAATTAAAGTTAAAAATTATAATTACAACAGTTAATGAATTAATTTAATTGAATATTACATTAATAATAAATATTTTAAAATTATTTTTGTAATATTAAAATTTATTATTTACAAATGGGTTTAGGTATTAGGTATCTTAAAATCATTATATGAACGCCATCCGAACCCATAACAAATAAAAATCTTACTATCTAAACCCTACCCAAATCCAATTATAAGATACCTTAGTATAACGTAATATAATCCCATTGCCATCCCCGCACTCGACTCCCTCTCTCTCTCTTTACAAAAGATATGATTTAAGTGAGGAGAATTTTGACCACTAATTTTCCTGTTTTATTTTTATTTCTTGAAAAAGTTGCATGTCCCTGAAGGGAAAGTAAGGTTCATGCTCAAGTTTAGGATTAGAGATCATTCAATTGGCTGAAAAGGCATGCACCATGCATAAAGGATCAAGAGTCAAGAGGTAGATATTGATTGGCACTTTAAATTTTATAAATGAGGGTGAGGAAGAGATAGGAGACGATAGTTTTGGGATGTTTCTTTTCTTGGTATATTTAAGTTATTCATGCTGCTCCAATACTTATTGAAATGGAATTGGAAGGCCTTGTATTTGATGGTTATTGTTTGCGGTTTGGAAGAAATCTAATTCGACGGATTAATATGGGTTGGTCTAAATTTTGCAGCCAACTTACCAAGTGATTTAGCCAATCAATGGTTACCCATTTCTTGGAGCTTAGAAACCCCAATCACTTGAAGCCCATTGATTGGCTGGTACCTGTCCAACCTTCCAGCTTACAGACAGCAGTGAGCCCACTATTGAGTGGAATTGATGTAGGCCTGGCTCATGAATTCCTCCCTGTAGGACCATTTGCTAAAGCCGGGCCATTGAGGAATACCCGTGGCAGGAGGAGCAGAAAGTCTGGCAGCTGCTGGCCTCGTGGTTATATTAGGCATTTGCATTACAACGTATGGCATTGCATCATTCGAGGAAGAAAAGCCATCCACTGCTGCATCTATAACTTTGACGAGGTTACGAGTATAAATGATACATTAATATTTATAAATTATTTAAATTTGAATAAAATTTAAATTTAATTTGATTATTATCGATTCAAGTTCGAGTTCAGTAATTCAATTCATCGATTGAGTCGAGTTTGAGTATTTTTATATCTGATTCGAGTAGCTTACGAGCCTAATCGAATTTTTATATTTAAATATTTTTATTATTTTAATTAATAAAATATCTTAAATTTGAGTTTAAGTTTGAGCACAAATAATCGAGCTCTTATCAAGTATAAGAATCAAGCTAATTGTTACAGATTAATCGAACTTAATCGAACGAGCTCGAGTAATTCGATTTCGATTACGAATCGAGCTCAAATTAGAAAATGAAATTCGATCGAGTTCGAATTAAATATCGAGTAACAAGTTAAGAGTTAAACTCAAGTTCGAACTTCTTACTGTACCGATTCCACTTAACTTGATTACATCTCTAGATTGGGCGGAAGAAGGAGCCAGAGCAGCTCCAAACAGCTAATAGATGGGCTTGTTGCACTGGAGGATTTTTCTTTTCAGGAATTTCTGGTGTCATTTGGGCCTACTTCCTCGTTTATGTCCTAAACCTTCCTTACTTCTTCAAGTAGATTTTATGTTAGGCAGCAGAAAATTAATGTGTACATTTGATGTCTATATGTTTCATAAGATGTCATTGATAACAATTCAGACTTTATAGTACTTATATATCCCTTTAAAAGGTTTACTTTTTGGACCAGTTCTCTCTTCCCCTTAAAAAATTTGGAGTGCAGATGTTGTTTGTGATTGTAAAAGTTTATATATATATATATATATATATATAAGGAAGTATTGAAGCTTTTCTTTGATTTAAAAAAAAAAAAAAGAAATGTTGACACTTAAATATAATAGTTAGATTTTTTTTATCAGTTTATACTTTTAAGATAATTGATCACCCAACTTAATAATAACATATAACCACACAAATAAAAATGTTTTTTCCCAGTCAATTTGAAATATATTAATTCAAAATAAATACTATTGAAGATGCATACTATTTAACATATTAAAATACATATTAAAATTTAATTTTAATTATATATATTAAGATAAGACGGCATATGATAATTTAATCGAATAAAATATTAGAAGCTCATTAACAAATGACCAGTTCCTCTATTTCATAAAAAATATTCGTCTTATTATAGTAGCTAGATTACCTGACCTCAAAAAAAAAAAAAAAAGAGAAAGTGTATTTGAATCTCATGACTATATGTTAAATTTGTGTAACTAAAATTTGATTGTTTGTATTTTTTTTACTACAATAGGAAGATAAAATCTTAATACAAATAAAAAAAATGAGAGAAATTTGATTCGAAATTAGACTTTTGATGTTTCTTCAAACGTCTTTAACCACTAAATTAAAAATTTGAAAATGACTTTTTGTATTTACCTTATCCCATTAAAAATTTAAGAAAAGAAATTGGAAAAGGAGGTCAATAAATAAATTTGGGATATAGGGTAAATTTGCCTTTATATTATGGGTGTAGTTTGAATTTTGCCAATATATATATCATAGATGAATTTTGCCACTATGTTTTGATTTGATTAAATTATGCAATTTTTTATTTGGTTGAATTGTATGAATGTATTTTTATTTTTGATAATTTTTGGACCAAGCTCAAACCTCTACAATTTAATATACCAAAAAAAGAAAGAGTTGGATTTTAATGATTTAAAAAAAGGCTAGATTTTGTCTATCAAATTAAAAAAGAAATCGAGTTAGATATAAATTTGGTTTCTTTCTGAAAAAAAAAAAATGACTATCGATAAGAAAAGTCATATTAGGAAGGAGATTAAAAATAATAAAGGAGAGGTGGAAAATAAAAGTTGAATGTGAACTATTTAAAAATTTTTAAATTAAGAGAGGTATTAATGGATACTCTCAAGGACTTATAGAGGTAAACCTCAAGTCTCCTGTTATCTTTTCTTTTCTCAATTTTCTCTTTTATAAATGTATGTATGTGGTTTTTAGGCAGACTCTACTCTTAATCATGTCAAACATCAGTGATCATTTTTTTTAATTTAATGTATGGGAATTAGATAAGGAAAACATTAAGGCATAAGGGATTAAAAAATTTTAAGTAAAAATTTATTAATTATTTAATCTCTTAATATTTTATTATAATCAATTGAATTTTGAATTTTTTATTTAAATCAATTAAATTTTTAAACATTTATTTTTACTTGATTGAACATTTATATATATATATATATATATTTTCACTCAAATTCTTGATTGATCGTAAATAATTAATCATTTTTTTTAACAATGATTCAATTAATGAAAATAAATATTTAAAAATTTGATTCAATTGATGAAAATAAATATTTAAAAATTTTATTGATTATAAAAAATCAATTAAAACTTAGATAATTATTGAATTTTAATTTAGGAGTTTTTTTAACCCTTTTACCAAAAATTAAAGATAAGTTGATGGAGAGTCGTATTTTTTTTTTTTATTGATGCTCATGCTTTCTTCACATATTCGAAGAGAGACGAAGATGAAGAACTGGACTTTCAGTCTTATATCGAATCTTGTGGGAATGTGACTTTACGAAAGACTCATGAAGTGCAATTAGATTATATGAATAGAATTCCTCAATCTGTCATTAATGACATTCTTGGTTCTATGCACATGCATTCCAGTGGAAGATTTCATGACGGATGAAATATCAGCTTTTACTGTTATATATAGTAACCATTCAAAATAAAGGATTTCTTTTAGCACAACAATTGACAATAGTTCTCAAAGATTGAATGTTAAATCCACAGAATTTCATAATTTCCAAATAATAATGCTGAATTTTTTTTCTAATACCATATAATTACGTACAAAACCATGAAATTTCTTTTAGCATATACACCCACCATGGAACTTTGTAACAGCTAAAAAACAAACAAGGGGAGGGAGAATTCCATCACAATTTAAACCATTTTTTTGACACTTAAATATACCTAATTATTATCATCAGCAACACCCACTATTACTCATTCTGGTGAAGGCAATACTGTTTCACCAGTATATAACAATCATGATCTATTAAGCTTTTCTTTTTTGTTTTTTTTTTTGGTCTAGGTAGAAGCTTGAACAAGGGGTGAGCCAGCTGCTGCTTGTGTTTCCATGGGGATTTCACACTGACCCGAAGGAACAGAAGGGAAAGCGAACAAGTGATTAGGTGAGAATAGATTGTCCCAGCTGCCAATGCTGGGGCTGGTAGATGCAGCAGACCCACCCAATCCAATGTGTGTCACATGCTTTACATCTGTTGGGAATCCTATTTCCATATCTTTCTCCGACTCTTCCCTGTACGCTGAAAACTCAAAAGAGCAATATAATAATATGAGTCCATTTTCTACACCGTCGCTCAAGTTTTTAAACTCCATGTTTAAAAAACTATCATGTGTTATACAAGGGTTAAACCACAGAGTTTCTTCTAAATGGATACCTAACAAGTAACAATTGAGGATGAACAAATCGTGTGATTTAATGGTAGATTATTGGACTCTAGTGAACAGATTCAAATCCTAACAGTCTTGATATATATATATATATATATATATATATATATAAAGCCAGATAAACCTCTTTCAAAAATGGTGTAGGATTTTGAAGTTAACTAGTACCCCATCAGAGTGTAAATTACTTGTTAAAAGTAACTCTTTCATTACAAAATCCATTAAATGCTGGAAATAAGCAATTAGCTTACATGTTTGGTCTACCATCACAAGTAATTCAGAGTTCAGACATAGACTTACCAAATAATTGAGATAAAGTCTTGAAACTCTTGAACAACCTGTGAAACCCAGTAGACATGTCAGGCTTTGGAAGAGGCAGGAATTTCAATGAATACTTCATGCTTTCACTTGATAAACTTTCTTCGTCTTCCTCTCGTGTTCCTACGAAGAAGTATAACAATCAAAATCCAAAATAATATCCACTAAGAAAAACCAAACAAGAAAGAAAAAAAAAACAATTGTCGGGGATCTATTGATAGAATGTTGGATTTTTAGTTTCAGGGTCTAGAATTCAAATCCTTATTACTTCAAATATATATTAAAAAAAATCCTAAAAAAAGAAAGAGACTTGTCGCAGTTGAATTGGTGTCCGAAGGCTTTGATCTTCCAGGATGCTGCACAGCTACAGCCACACTTGATTCAGAGACACAACCAACTGAGAAAGGAAGAATAACAAATCTTTCCATTTTGTCTCTCATTCCTTCATTAAACAGCCAATGGGGGAAATAGAATAAAGAGCAAAAAGGTGAGCCAGTGAGTGAAAAAGTGAGACACCCAAATAAACCGGTTGTTGAAGGAAAATGCAACCATTGGAAGTGTAATTGCTTTGTTATATTGAGTGGCTATGGCTTTGTTATCAAGTTACAATAATTCTAATGTATAAAAAAGGTCAAGATACATTTGAGTTTAGTTTGGTAGAGAAAAAGATTGGTTTGAAAACACCAACTGATCTGATAGGTACATTTGGACGTGTATTAATTCATACTAACAGGATTATATTGAGAAGTTTAATCCTAAAAACGGGCCTAACCCAACCCAACCTATGTTTTTCATTTTTCTTGACATGCATGGAGTTAAAAGTAGGTAAAATTTCTATGTTTAGGCTGTTAGCTAGGAAGCCTATCAACACATAATATGGGTATAATATGATATGAACAAGGTGACACAAAAATTTTTTAAAAATAAAGATATGGATAAAATAGGACATAGTAATTAAAAAACACTTTTTATATGTTATAATTATCAGTTAAAAATATATGATAAATGTTAAGTTGATTTGTAAAGGACAATTACCATGGTGAAAAACAACTGATAATAAATATGATAATAAAAGAACATAAGAAATCATTACTCACACAAAAATTTTTTTGTTTTACTGTATCTGATCAAATTTAATGCGTATTCCAACGTATTGAAAGTGTCAAAATGTTAAATACAAATATAAAACAGGTAAAAAGGGGATTATCCATGCACCATAGATGCCACTAACCCAAAATTCAATCTATTTCTTACTTTCTGTCACTTTACCTAGAAAACATTTTACTGAGCTAAGTCTCCACAGTGGGCTCCTACTACCTTCACTTGCCTCTCTTATACAATAAGCTACCAATTTTTTTTCTTATCTGTAATTCTTTTCCATTGTTAACTTTTCAGCCTCAAACATTTTAGTGAGTTCTTTTCTTCTTCTTCTTCTTTTTTGTTTTTTTTTTTTACTTAATTTGGACTCTTCCTTTCAAGTAGTACATCACAAGCGATCTTTTGTGTTGAAAACACCAAGCTCTTGTGATGGATACCAAAGGGTGTTTCCTTGATTTTAAAGAACAATAAAATTATTTTTATTGTTAAAAAGCTCATAGCTATTAAAAAGTATTCTTATATTAATATTTTAATAATTCAAAGTATATTTTACAATTAAAATCAAATAAAAATAATTTTTATTAACTAAAATAATGTTATTGACTAGGCAAGCTCTTGGTAATGTATGTCAAAGGGTTTTTACTTGATTTTAAAGAACAATAACATGATAGAGGATTGGAAACTGAAAAGGAAAAGATTAAATTATGTTTGTTGAGAATTTTATTGGAATTTTTTTAAAAAAGTTGTTGGTTTTTGTAGTTGGGTAAAGATATTAAAACCAACCTACCTAACTAAGCCCAAATTCAACACTCTATTCTGCCCTCAAATCAAACACCAAACAAATAAGACATTCTGTTAATGTGTCATTGATACTGTCTTGTTATTTTACTTTGTGTTTCGTGTAAAATACAGGTACTTACTGGGTTCCAAACCCAGAAGAATTGCATGATATTTCTCTAAACTTCTTTCAATAATTAATTATATAAAGCTTGAGCTATCTTTTTTGCATCTACAAATTACCAAAATAAATAAGATCAAGTACAGTATTAAATGAATAAAATTAGAAAATACTGGTTTTTTCTCATATATAAAAAAAAAAAAGGAAACCAGTTTATAATGATGATACAATTTTATTGACAATCATGTGATTTATTGGTAACGTAGTGGACTCCTAGTTTTATTGTCAAACTCTAACAGCTTCAAGTATAGAAAAAATATAATTCAGTTTTAATAGAATTAAAAGAAGAGTTCTCAGATTTAATATATTATCTTATTTTTCAGACATCATATTTTAGAGTAAGATACCCTTCTCTATTATAATGATGTTTTATATCTATTTATTTAGATTTTGAACAAATTATAACTTTTGTGGGTTGGGGGTGGTGAGTGAACCTGATTCCTGTCCCAGTCCAGAATTGATCAAAAATAGAGAAAAGGAAGTGGAGATACTTGTACAACCAACATCTGCACACAAACATCAGAATGAGGAAGAGAAAGTAAATTTTGCCCCAAAGAAAATGCTTTACCGAAACAACAAAAATAGGTTTGCTTAGAAGCAAGTGAAGGCAAAAACTTGAAGTGCAAAGTGCAGTTAAGGAGAGAAACAAAGATGATGACAAACAAGAACAGACTTAAGATGAACTTCCAGAATAAATTAAGCAGTTATTTATCAGATATACAGATAGGATAGAATGGAATGCAGTAGAATTTGAAAGTTAAATTGTATGAGTGCATTCGCACATGTCTAAATGAAATCCCAATCCTATACATTTACTGCCTCTCAATTAAGATGTGCATGGTTCCAACTCTCAGAAAAAGAAACCGAGGAGAAAAGAAAGGATGTTGTAAAGTTTGTAGATTCATTGGCTATTAGGTTGCAGCAAGCACAAAGTATTTTCAAGTTTCAAGAAGACAATAAATGTCATGTTATACATGGTATTGTATAACCTGCAAGGCTGCAACCAGCTGTGGCCATAATATATGTCGCAATGGGTACTATTTCAAAGCTAATTCGGATCCCACACAACTCATAAAGAAGTCCCATTAAAGCAAATTTTGATTTACAAAAACAAGTGTGGCTAAACATTACAGGAATAAAGAGGTAAGATCCATTACAGATGTGGATGAGACTTAGTTGGCTGTACTTCAATAAACCAATGGCTTAATGCATAAATTTGGTAAGAGAGTGAGGATAAAGAAGAGTTCTAGACAACTAGAAAGTACCTGTATTTTCACTTCAGTATATCCATACAGAATCTGCAAGAGAAGCCTAAGAGTTTTGGACTTGGATATTGGTGGCATGCTATCTCCAAGGCTACTTGATGGGATTGACAAAATCTTCAGTTCAGGATTCTTGCGTGATGACATCTGACCAGTTAAGGCAACTGTATTCTGTACACCAATGCTTGCATGAGAACATCTGACTTCAAATGGATTGGATTCAGGATTTCAGTTAGCTATAATATCATAAGAGATCACAGAAACACCTGGATGCCTATTGATATGTGTGTGATTTGGTGCCCTAAACAGTCAATGATACTGAAAGTTCAATTCCTCACCTAAAACTGCAAGGCTGACCATCTGTAGGTTGAACACACAACATCGAAGCAGGAGTAACTTGCCCTGCGCAGTTGAAGTCATTGCAGTAGTGGAATGCAGATGAAGGTCCCTCCTGAACCATAGGCATCAACAAGGCAAGCTCTGAAAGATGACAAGATGGCTGTGATTGTGGTAGAAAGTCGACTCAAAGCCAAAGCTCAAAATTCACCACAGGCCATCCCTTGAGAAAGGATATCCCTGCCATATTATACACGATGCTGGCTGTATTCTGGTAACACTCCTGTTAAGGCAACTGGATTCTGTACACCAGTGAAATAATTACAACTAACACTATGAGATAAGTGACAAGCACCAGTTCGATCACCAGTAATCTATGCAAGAGAAGCAGTCATGCTTAAAATGGTGAAACGGGTGAATATCTCTCACAATTATTTCCCTATCTAGAAGCTGAGAAGTATATTTCATAAAGTTATGACAGTCATCGCAAACTATAAGGCTCTTCATTATCCGAATTGGTGTTTGAGATGTCATGCTAATGATACCATAAGCAGTGGCAAGTTTTTCGTTGTGGAAACCAACTAGCATTTCCCCTTGCTCTTCTTCCACATCCTGCATCACCAGTTTGGCATCAGATGAGTACCCAATTTCTCTCATTCTTCCAATTAGCTTGTCCAAATATGCATATATCTCATCCTTTTATGGATGGGATATATCTCCCACGACAAAAGTGTGAACCTGATTCTTGATTTGGATCCAGGATTGACCAGGATGCTTTCTAACCCCCTCCGCTTAGCATCAAGCTCCTCACTTCTGCAGCCTCCTCCCAACTTTGTTTTATGGCACAAATATTTGATAGCAAGATACAAGGTCCGGCATCAAGTGGTTCCAGACAAAGTAGCTTTTCAGAAACCCACTCTGCCATCACAACATCTCTGTGAAGTCAACAAGAAGATAGAAATGATCTCCAGACTGCAGTCATATGATAGATGCCATTTCCATCAATAAACTTCTTTGCCTTGTTCAACAGCCAGCTCGTCCATATAGATCAACCATGCAAGTGAAATGCTCAACTCCAGGCTTGATACCATAAACTTCTTTCATAAGCTTGAAATATCTGCAACCTTCTTCAATCAGCCCTGCATGGCTGCATGCAGTTAAAACTCCAATGAAAATTACCTCATTTGGCATAATTCCCTCACTTGTCATCAATCCAAAAAGCTGGACAGCCTACCTCCCTTGACCATGAAAGCACAACTAGATATCACTGAAGTCCACAATACAACATTCATATCACTAGTTTGCTTGAAAATCATCTGAGCTTCATCCAAGTTTCCACATTTAGCAATCATGTCAATCAATGAGGATCCCCAATAAGCATTTACTTTGTGCCCAATTTTCTGAATGACGGCATGAACCTGCTGACCAAGTTCCAAAACTCCAGAATTAGTACAAGTAGAAACAATGCTTGTGATAGTAAACCCATCAACCTTAATTTCTTTACGAATCATAGAGGTAAATGTTTTAAAAGCATCTTCAAACTTACCATTCAGAAGCTATGCAGAAATAATCCAACTCCAAGAAATAATTTCTTCAATGCAATTTTCTTTCCTCCCAAAATCCATATCCATTTTCTCAAAAACTTTTGATGCCATTTGCATTTCCCCACATTTGCAATACATATCAATAAGTGAATCCTTATGAACCCATCAACATGAATTCCTAATCTCAACACCCTCCCAGGAATTTGTTTCCCTAATTCTGAATCTATTAACAATGAAACCAAAACCCAGCTATAGAAAGAATGGCTTCATTAAGTTCCAATTTTACCATCTCATAAAGTAGTTCCAATGCAATTCTTTCAAACCCTTTTTGCATTACGCCATTTATAATTGTATTCCAATTAGCAACATCCTTAAAATTAAACCTTCTAAATAAATCAACAACTCCAATATTCAAATGTGCGCCAATCATTATATTCCATGTTACACTATTTCTCTCTTCCATTAACTCAAACAACCATTTGGCAGATCCAAAATCCTCACATTTGACATAAAAATCAAGAAGGGCATTCATCCAAAAACAATATCAAAAGCAACCCCATTCCTTAAAATCCACCCATGAACTCCTTTCCCTATCCTAAGCTCACACAAACTAGAACAACACTTCAAAACACTTGACAAAGTGAATTCGTTTGGTTTAACATCCTAATTTGGCATGTCCTTAAAAAGTTCCAACACAACTTCATTAGAACCAACACGTGCAAAAGAAGAAACTAGTATTGTCCAAGCTTGGACATCTCTATCGTACATTTCATCAAACAGTTTACGCGCAAAGCTTAAAAGGTGGTTAGCTACGTCTAAGTTTTGAAAGGAACTATCTTTGAAGGCCTTAGCGTGAAGGGAGTTATTAGTGGGTAAAGCTAAATGTTGGTGGGAGTAGAATTTGCATTGATGAAAATGAAAGGAAACTAATTTCTTTAAGAGAAATAGAAAAAATGGTGGGGTTTTTGAGATGTTTTCTAGGGGTCAAATAAGAGGAGAACATTTTATCAGCGCTGCCTGGAAATGAGGTTGCATTGTTAGAGGCGTAAAGGTTAGTAATATTTGGTTGAAGATAGAAGATACAGGAAGATAAACAAGAACGTAGGTCGTATAATTTTAAAAAATAGGAAAGAAATTGTGAGATAATAATTTTTTAATTTTATAAATATTAAACATGAAACAAACATGTGATAAAAAATAAAATAAATAAATATAAATACAAATATAAAAATTACCGGGATCATAAACAAGCGTTAAAATGGAAATCACGAACATGGCTAAGCCAATTTAGTTTTGGTTAGAGTGGGGCGTTGGGTAAAAGACTCAGCTTCATTTCTTTTATAAACATCTATGCCATACTGCTCTTACTCCAATGGTCTGCTGCTCCCTGTTAGTTTGTACGGCAGAATTGTTTGAAGAAATAAATAGAGGGATGTTTGTGAAAGGAGAAATACAACCAAGATCATTTTTCAATATCTGAACGAGTGAAGCCCACGGAAAACCACTTTTAATAAATATAACTATGTTATGTATACAAAAGAATATGGGACAATTATATGTTTTTCAACCAGTTAGAATAAAACCTTTTCAGTGTTCATATAACCAAAAAGCAATAAACAAAAGGAAAATTTTGAAGAGAACACTGGTGCTCCCAAAGAATCATGTTAGCCTACAATCATAGGGGAGGATAGAAATATGAAGACAGGGAAAAACCAAGGAAGAGTAAGCCTCCAATTGTAGCAACAGTGCGCTGCGAGATCTTGGCCGCTAGCATGCTTCCTCCCACCACAGCCAAAGATGTACAGATGGTGTGTCCTAACGTGGCTCCTACAGCTACTCCAACAGCATTTTTATGTGTTGCCAGCTGCAGCATCGTAAGTCATGGTTTACAAACTTGTAAATATCAAGTTATAAGCAGGTGTTTGAATTTGTATGCATAAAGTTTAGTACACCAACCACAAATCTAAAAAATCTAATGCTAAATTTGGCATCTAATGGTAATTTGGCATTGGGGACCTGTGGTTTAAAACAGCCACAATACCACACAATTCCAAAATTATTAGCTCAAACTGAAATTTGACATAACAGAAATGGAAAAAAAAAAAATTCAGTCACTGTTTTATAGTCTAATAGTCTAAAGCCTAAATCAGTTTAATACCAATCATGAAAATTCATAATATTTCAAAATTTTCAATGAAAAGAAAATAAAGAATGTGATGCCAGGTAAAATGCAACTGTTGCAGATTAGAGTCATACAAACATGTATAAAATTTTGAGGACTGATACAAGCACACTTCAGTTACAAAAGCCATGTCAGACTTGGGGAAAAGTTCAATCTCCTTATTAGGGAACATATGTAAATTTGGATGCAAACAGTAAAAACGCATAAACTTCACTTTATACAGGTTGTAGCAAGTAAAACAGGAGACAAACAGAATAACTCCCCTTAAAACCTGCAGATAAAACGATACAAAAAGAGTCAAAAGGCTATTTTCCATGGCTGGATTACTTGTATAGAGGACACTAGGGGAAACTGAAAACCAGCCAAGGTACAGATGCTTACAACCACAACCCTCAAAGGTATCTGCCTTAGACATTAGTTCCTCTTAATATACATCGCACATAACTTTCTTTTCTGTTCCTCTAAATAATCTATCTCCCTTGGGTTTTAGGCTAGCAGAAGGAACTTTTCACCTAACCAATTGAGATCAGAGAGGTGCACACATTCTTTATATAGCAACAGAGATGATTAGCATTTTTTAGAGAAAAAAACATGTCAGCTATTGTTTCTTACAAACTTCTCAAGTAAAAAGAACCCAAGAATATGAGCAACCATCACAAACAAAGAAACAAGTTTGAATCTTATAGAAAACTTTAGGTCAAGGGTAGGAATCATATTACAGCAATTGTTGCAATCTGGCTTCGATCACCCCATTCTGCTAGAAATGTTAGAATAAATGACTGCATGGAAAGAAAAAGGACAAAAGCACTTCAGTGATAATAGATTATTTAAACAATAAGTGAAAATCAACAATATATAAATATTTAAGATGAGTGGTAATGTGGAAACAAAATAAAACCTCCAAAAATATTGGTGTACAAAATCTGGAGAAGAAGCGCCGAAAAGATGTTTTCCCTTGCCCAGTCTCAAGTTTCTCTTCTACCTAAACATGTGAGATAACCAAAAGCAAATTCAGTGTGAAGGTGATATGAAAGTTTTGACAATAAATAAAAAGGAAAAGACCTTCAGATGCTATACAATGCAATCTTTAAATAATAGTATAACTTATTGATACTGGATAGGTTACAATACAAAGAATAATATATATATATATATATATATATAAGAATGCACACACATTACACATGGAAAAAAAGTTCAAGATCCTTTTAAAGAAATTATGCACTTCCCTGAAAAGGAACAACCAAACAACCACCTTTCCAACCTTTTACAATGTACAAAACAGAGAAAGAAGACTCCTTGGTAATCTGACCAAAATTTCAAGTATAACCATATAGACTTGCCTCCAAATTAAAAGTGTCAGCTTATTCTAGTTCTTTTATATTGCGAGAAGCATCTCTAGTAACCAAATAAGATAAAATGGATGCATACAAGCAAATATGAATATCAAACTGAGAGCCAAAGAGACATACTTCTTCCATTTCCTTTTTCTGAGATGCCTTTGAATCTGATCTCCAGGCAATGTAAAGTAACCGAAACCCAAAAAATGCATAAAGAACTGCATAGCAAGGGAAAAGGCAGAGAAACGGGTGGATAATTCAATCTCATGTGCATAAATCAGAATCAACATCCAATAAATCGCTTTGCTCGTAACCAGGAATCCTTTTCCAAAAGTTTCTATGATTCAAAGTGCACTTTCACTGTCTACACTCCTACACATTAGATAATTGCAATCCTAGTTCCAACTAGACTTTCTGTATGGATACCATCCAGAGGCATGCATACAATGTAGCATCTATTTGCAAAACAAAGACATATAATCCCTTCCACAACTGATGGATTTACCAATCAAAGAGATACCTTTCAAATTTCTACATTCTAAAGGCTGCAAGCAATAAAAACAGTCAAATTAGTCTGGTAGCATAATGCTCAATCATTTGCAATTCCCGCTTCCAAAAACTAGCACCATGAATGAAAGGCAAAACGCAAGTACAAAATTTCAGCAGCATATATCAGCACTTAAACCAAGAATTATATGCCAAATACCAAATTCCAATAGTTTTTAGCGAACTGAAAACCATGCTCAAGGAATGACAAAAACAATAAATGAAGACACTCCAAAAAACACACAAGGGAATGACCACAAATGAAGTCATAAAGAGAAATGAATGCGTGATGAGCAAAAAACAAAATGAACAACAGAACCTAATCTAAGAAATTATGGAATATAAACACAAAGAAAACGCACGAAAAAAAAAAAAGAAAGTCATTATATGTACCCGTAGCTGCACTATTGGTGTGCTTCCTTGATATCAAATTTGGTACAATCCTACCTAGTCCAGTGGAAAGTACCTAATTCACAACAAGTAAATAAAATTTAAACATTGATAATATTAAGAATTTAGCCAAAATTCTTTTTGGCAGTACATGTTCTGCCAAGAACATTTCATTGTAACACAATGCAAATGCATTATATTCTACTAAAAAAAAAAGAGCAAGTGCCTAACATATTTAGTAAGTCAAATAAAAGACTTAAAACATTAAACAAAAAATTAAGAATGAATTGTCTAACTTACTGTCATAACAATCAGGGCAGTGAGAGCACCAGATAGAACAGTTGACTTTGGGTGCCGCATTGCCATAAGAGCTGCTATTATAAACGTCTCATCTCCAATCTATCATTGCATTCAAAACAAACTAACTCAGCATTTTCACTAAATGGTATTACAGATAGAAAATATTTGATAAATTTAAGAAGCAAAGCAGTTGCTAACAGAGTAGCCAGATGACATGTTTCTTAGCAAAAAAGACTCCGTTCTAAAGCACATGATAGTAAGAGATGTGGAAAACCATTATCATTTCACAATGCCAAACATAAAGTTGAAAATAAATAGAATTAAATGTACAAACCTCGCTGATAATTATCATGGAAAAACTTGTAAAGAATGCATCAAAGATGCCAAGACCAGCTGAATCAAAACCGAGATTAATACCCATAGAAACGATATCAGCCTTCTCGTCTAGTGCACCATTCTGAAAATTCTTTGAAACAATCTGTATCCAGGAAACCCTTTTATCAACATAATCCAAACAACAATACAAAATTTTTTTTAACAAAAAATAAAATACACAACTCCACGGATGAAGAATTTACATGACACTCTAAGTTGGAAATTTAAAACATTAAATCTTAAGATGAAGCTAATTTTAGACTTTCATGTGATTTAACTAACGCCATGATTGACTACTTATCTCTAACTCCTAAACAGCTGCCCTAAAGCAATAGAAAATCGAATAAAAAGAACCAACTAGCAAACAGCTAATAAACAAACAATTTGAACTCTATAAATCCTAAGTATCTCAATAATCAAACAGAGATGAGAAGAAGAGAAAAAGCAGACCATGGCGCGGCGGCCCACAACTTTAGATGACCCACTGGATTCCTCCTTCTCAACTTCAATTCCAGACTCCTAACAAAGCATAAAAATAGAGAAAAAAAAATCCCGTTTCAGTATTTACATAAATTTGAAAGAACAAGCTTTAACCCAAAAAAAAAAAAAGAAACAACCAACACCTGAGCAAAAGTACTGGAAGAGAGAGCGAAGAAGAAAAAGGAAGCAATGAAGATAAAGTGAATGGAAGGGAAGCCCATTAAAAAAATATGGGGAGAGAAAATTTGAGGGATCGGGAGATTTTATCTGAAGAAAAATTTTAAAAAAAAAAGTTAGAAGGGAAGGAATAAGAGAGGGATCTGAATCACAGGAGAGAGATCTGCGAGACGGGATTGGGATCTGAAGGATGCTTCGATGGAATCGTAGGATTCATTTGTTAATCAATTAGATCTGAGAGAGAAAGAGAAAGAGAGATCCAGCAGAAGAGCGAAGATCTTCTCTAAAATTTGTCAAAACTGAAGCACAGCAGTTTTTACGTACGAAAGGCCTGTGGCAGGCTACACGCCTACATCCTTACTTTTCTTTCTATTTTTTTTTTTTTAATAAACGGGGATTTGGAAGCTGAATTTGTTTATTGTTTATTTATTATTCGAATTTGGCAGCCGCTCCGCATTATTCATTCGGGTTGGTTAGATTAAAAAAGTAATTAATTGAATTTAAATTTGAGTTTAAAATTGATTTAAATTTAATTAAATTTTATTATTTTAATTAATATTTAATTTGAAATAAAAATTAAGCTATTCGAATTCGTTCGATTAAGTTTGATTAACATATAAAAATAAATTTAATTATTTGTGTTCGAGTTCAAATTGAAATAATTTATTAATTAAAATAATAAAAATATATTTAAATATAATAATTCGATTAGGTTTGTGAACTACTCAAATCGAATATACGAATATTTGAACTCGATTCGATTGATAAGTCGAATTATTTGAGTTTGAACTCAACTCGATAACAATTGAGTCTAATTTAAGTTTTATTCAAATCGAACCTGAATAATTTATTAGTATTAATATATTATTTACATCTATAATTTAAGTGGCTTTGAGTCCTTTAGATCAATTGATTAAATTATTTTAGATTGCATCATTTAAGCAAATCCTACTTTATCAATGTTGCATGTAGATAATTAAAATTTTAATTCCAATAATCATGATTTAAATTTTAATAATTTTAAAGATAAAAATAGTTTGAATTTTAATAATTTTAAATATTAAAAAAAAGATAAAATCTTGAAGTCAAATAATATTCTAATTTATTTTTAAAAATGCGAAGTATATAATTTTTGAAATTTTTTAAATAAAAAATTATTTAATTCTTTTTTTAAATTACTTCAAATATTTAAATTCTTAATGACTTGAAATTAAAATGAATAAATTTGATCTTTCCCAAATTTGAAACTTAGATCTTGAAATTTCAATTCTTTAAAAAATATTTGGAATTCTTGAGATTTCAATCCTTTTTACCTTTTGGATTTTTTCTTTAGATAGTGTTAGGTGTTCTTAGCATGTTAGGAGGAATGTCAACTCCTTCGCTCGTAATTGAGTTTAGATTATTGGAGAGTTCGGGTGCAAAGGGTGTGGTGGAACAGGGTATATATTATTTATTATAGTGTTAGGTGAGAAATAATATGATTTTAATTTGTATGGTCAAATCCAATGTCTAAAATCCATAGCAATATTGAATCGATAATGTGATTTATTATTGAATTAACCAACCCAATCAATTCATTTCATCTTTATTTTATTCTAATTTAGTTTGACTTTATTAATTTATTCCCAAATTAATTCAATTAAGCGATCCAACAAATCGATTTCATCCCCACTTAGTTCAATCTTACTAATTGAACCAAAAAAACCATCGATTTTCACTTTAACAAATGCAATCCTATTTTTTCAACAGTGGTCAAACCATATATTTTATCATAGATTATCAAATTAGTTGAAAATTTTTCAATTACTTTATTTAGCAACACTTTTGTAAATGTGATGTGATACTTTAACTGACAACTAAATAAAATTTAAACAAATTTTGAAGACATTTTGTAAATGGCATAATTTTTTTCTTCTACAAAATTATTCATGCCACGTTTCACCTAAATTTTTTAAAGTTGTTATTTATATATTTAAATTGCTTTAGGTTCATTTAAATAAATGATAAGATTAACTCTAATGATATTAAAAATAATGATAAAAATAAAATTAGTGATTATTATAAAATTAAAATTAATGATAAAAATATGTATTTTGAATACAATGTAATAATAATAGTAAAATAAAATATAATGAAAAAAATAACTATTAAGTATATTAAATGAAAACTTGTATAAAATAAAAATTTAACTTATTTAATAATTAATTAATAATTTAAAATTAATAAAATCATTTTTTTCAAATTATAATTTTATTAAAAAATATTTGAAAATTAATAAAAATAAAATTATAATATATCAAATGATTTTTTATAAAAATATAAAAATATATTTACATAAATTAATAATAATATTTTAAAATAATAATTATTTTATATTAAATAATAATTATTTTTATTTAAATTAAAATAAAAAAGGGAAAAGCTTAAGTGGTCTCTTTGCAGGTTGTACTATAGCATAAATCTCCAAATGAAAACAAAATGAAGCAAGTTTTTTTTTTTTAAATGAACTCTAATATTCGTTGAACCTTTTTTGTTCAAAGTCTATTTAGATAAATTAGATAATAGAGATTAATTCGATAAAATTAAAAAATAATAATAAAAATAAAATTAATTATTATAACTATAAAATTAAAATTTATAATAAGATATATATTTGAATATAAAAATAACGATAACAATGTGATAAATTACAATAAAAAAAATAATCATTAAAGATATTAAATATATTAACTAAAAATTATATTAAAAATTTTAAATTTTAAAATTTTTTAAAATTAATAAATTATTTAAAATCAAATAATAGTTTTATTAATAAATAAATTTAAATGATTTTTTAGTTAATTTATTATGTAATAATAAATTTTATTTTTATATTAAAGTAACAAAATTACTTTATAATTTTTAAATAAAAAACTCAAAATCTGGTGAAAAAGTAAAAAAATTAGAATAAAAATATTTAAGGAAAAGTTAAAAGCTATTAACTTAAGAAGAAAAATGAAAAAAAAAAAAAAAGAAACTGTATTCGAAGTAACTGGAACCTTCAACTTCAGTGAACATTTGACGAAAACTTCAACGCACTACAACAATGTTTGGACATTGAAGCTGCTGTTGGCACAGTTTTTTATAACAATTGCACCGCCCCTGAGAGTCCGATGCATTCCAAACGAGGCTTCAAAAAACAGCACGATGGTGCAAATTTTTTTGTGGCAATCGCACTGGAGATTGTTACCCAAATGCTCTTTCATGCTATGGGCACACAAAAAAGAGAATAATCGCACTAAAAGGGGTTTCAATAAATTCCAAATGGGCTTTTATTTTATAATAGTAAGTTTAAAAAATAAAGAAAAATGAAAATAAAATATTATATACATATATGATGTAATATTAATATCGTGAAAGTTGAACTTAATCAAAATAATCGAAAGAATTTTTTTCTCTTTTTTAATCATAACTTAATCGTTTATTAAAACAACATCTTACATACATTTATATAATTTTGTTTGTAGATTATGCCTGCATTACATTTGTTCAAAAAAGACAAAAAGAGTGTATTTTTTATTTGTTTAGTATATTTTTATGGGTTAAATACTCATTTAACTACTGTATCATATATATTTTTTTTTAATTTGATATTTAAAAAAATAAATTTCATAATTAGATATTTTAATTTTTATTTCGTCATTTATTTTGATACTTCAAATTAATATCGTCAGTCAATTTATTAACATGATATGAATATTTAATAAGATAAACATGTATTAAAAATTCAGTCAACATCACATTATCAATTGTCACATCAATATTAAAAAAAAAATTTTTAAAATTTTTAATTATAAAATTTTTTTAAAATTTTAAAAATTCTTAAAAATTTAAAATTGGAAGATTTTGTTTTGTATTACTGATGTCAAACAAACAAGGGAAAAGAAATATATAGTAGAAATTTAGAGGAAAATCAAAGATAGATAGAAGCAATTAGGGAGACGCAGAGGTAATCAGTGGAGAAAACCAGAAAAGTGGGATAAAATCTCAAACCTCAATGTCTCAATCTCAAATATTCATCATCCAAAACCTAAAATAACATAGATATTTATAAGCTATAAGCCCTAAACTTGCACAATAACAAATATAATCCTAAAATCCTAATACTATGGAATTAAGTAAAATACTAATTATATAAAATAACCTGAAAATAGACTAAATATATGTAAAAATTACAATCAAACCCATAAAATATAAAACAAAGTCCTAGATAACTCAATCCCTCAACCAGGTAGCATATTTCCACATCCTCCATCAATTAGATAGCTAAAACACTCACTTTGGTAAATAATCTCTTTTCAGTCAGTAAAGAAAGCATATTAATGTCTTCATCATACCTTCACCAGGTTCAAGAGGTCTAGCATAATCCTGGGAGGCTGTCAGTCGGGCAGGGTGCTTTCTCACATAGCCTTCCTGTAAAGGCTTAGGTATCCGAAATGAAAATTGAGACAAAGTCACCCCTTCAGTTGCATACTCTGGATGTTCAATCAAGTCCCTCCAAAATCATAAGCACTGTTAACAAAAATATCAACAGAAAATTCAGGGAATTGTGAGGGGTGTGGGTGGTAGGATGGGGTCTGTTGACTACTTATCCAGTAATAGAATTGTACCTCAAAAATAAGGAAAGAAAGAATAAAAAGCTTAAGAAATGATTATGTACTTTTGCACCTCCACCATTGAGCGCAGTCTTTTTCCTGACGCTGCTTGATCGTAGCTGAAATATATAGAAAAATTTACAAAATAGCCCTTGGTTGCGGGCATGAGATACCCTTAATTAGTCCTCAAAGCTCACAAAAATCTGCATTACACAGTGCAATATCAACCTAGATATACATAAAGTGATAAAAAATTATTAAATAGGACCAAGGCAAGAATGTCATGTTTCAGTTGAAGCCATATTCTGGTTTTTTATCTTAGCAAATCTAATAGTTCATACTACAACTAAAAAAAGCAGTCACCTTAAAATGAATTTCTAATTTAAGCTAGCAGCAGATCAATCAGCTAGCAATGAACTGCACCATTCTAACACCAAGTTCACCTTCACTGCTTTACTTTGGAAACATAAAGTGTTGGGAATATTGACTCAAATCCCATAAGAGATTTGTTTGAGATTTGTTAGAGATTTGTTTGGATTTGTCAGATATTGCTTGATGGACAAGAAGACTTGCAAAAGAAGAATTCCAAAAGAAAGAGGATTCTTAATAGGTAAGTTTGACTTGCAAGAGAAGAATTTTAAAAGGAAAGGGATTCTTAATAGGTAAGTTTGACTTACAGGAGAAGAATTCTAAGAGGAGAGGGATTCTTAATGGGCAAGTTTGTATGGTTATAAATAGGTGAAGTCTCTACAGAGTTAGGTATGAGAAAAAGATGTAAGAGAGTTGTAGGGTTTTGTGGGATAGACACCCCATAGGAGTATGGGTGTGTATGTTTGTTTGTGAGTGGACTAGAGGAGACTGAGAGGGTCCACATAGGTATGATGTATGGGAACATATGGGTATGTGTTTGGTTATGTTGAAAGAGTGCACAAGGGTTTGGGTTTGTGTTTGTTTGGGTAGAGAATACTTCATAGGACTAGAGGAGATTGAGAGTGTCTTATGAGTATTGATTGTTGAGTGAGGTTGATGATATGATGTATGTTTGTAATTCTCTACAACTAGTGGATCTTGTTTCTCATCCGTGGATGTAGGTCAGTTGGACCGAACCACGTTAAATTGTTGTCTCTTGTGTGTTTGATTTATTGTTTGATTTCGCTTTCGCTGGTGTGATTGGATTGGAGGCTTTTAGCCCAACAAATGGTATCGGAGCTGTGGTGATCCCAACAAATGGTATCAGAGCTGTGGTGTTTCCCCAACAAGTGGTATCAGAGCTGAAGGTTTGAAATGAGAGAAGAGTTGAAGATTCAAGATGTGAAAAGAGCCGAAGGTTCAAGATGTGAAAGAGCTGAAAGTTCGAGATGTGGGAAGAGCTAAAGGTTTGGGAAGTGCATGATTTGAGACATGGAAAGAAGCAAGTTCAGAAGAGCTCGATTCGAGAGAAGAGTTCGAGTTCGAGTTTTGAAGATTGATGATTGGTTTGTATGAAGCGTGAAGACACAAGAGAAGAGAAGATGATTGTGAGACTTCCATTGTAGGTGAAGCCAAGCATGTCTAGCATGAAGACAGATGATTGATGGAATTTGAGTCAAGGTGAAGATTGTTGGGAATATTGACTCAAATCCCATAAGAGATTTGTTTGAGATTTGTTAGAGATTTGTTTGGATTTGTCAGATATTGCTTGATGGACAAGAAGACTTGCAAAAGAAGAATTCCAAAAGAAAGAGGATTCTTAATAGGTAAGTTTGACTTGCAAGAGAAGAATTTTAAAAGGAAAGGGATTCTTAATAGGTAAGTTTGACTTACAGGAGAAGAATTCTAAGAGGAGAGGGATCTTAATGGGCAAGTTTGTATGGTTATAAATAGGTGAAGTCTCTACAGAGTTAGGTATGAGAAAAAGATGTAAGAGAGTTGTAGGGTTTTGTGGGATAGACACCCCATAGGAGTATGGGTGTGTATGTTTGTTTGTGAGTGGACTAGAGGAGACTGAGAGGGTCCACATAGGTATGATGTATGGGAACATATGGGTATGTGTTTGGTTATGTTGAAAGAGTGCACAAGGGTTGGGTTTGTGTTTGTTTGGGTAGAGAATACTTCATAGGACTAGAGGAGATTGAGAGTGTCTTATGAGTATTGATTGTTGAGTGAGGTTGATGATATGATGTATGTTTGTAATTCTCTACAACTAGTGGATCTTGTTTCTCATCCGTGGATGTAGGTCAGTTGGACCGAACCACGTTAAATTGTTGTCTCTTGTGTGTTTGATTTATTGTTTGATTTCGCTTTCGCTGGTGTGATTGGATTGGAGGCTTTTAGCCCAACAAATGGTATCAGAGCTGTGGTGATCCCCAACAAATGGTATCAGAGCTGTGGTGTTTCCCAACAGAAAGTGTGTATTGATCATCCTACGACCGGATTAACAATTAAGGTCACAGATACCAAGTAAACATCCTCATAACTCTTAGCTCCTGATTGAAGAAACAAACTGAAATGTTTGCAAGAAGAATGAAATAAGAAGTAATCTACATCTTCTCCGTCGTTGTACTACAAATAAAAGAAGAAATGCATGCCATTGAAGAGAGGGATCATACCAAGAAAAGGAAGAGGAATATCAGGTATCAAGTACGGAAAGAATGAAAACCACAGTTAATCATGATCACAAGAATAACAGTAAAGAAATGAACATATTTAAAAGAAACTAGTAGCTTTATAAGGAAAATTTTCTAGTGAATCAATGATCCCCAAAAAATTAAGAGAATTCAGATAGTTTAAAGGCATAAGGAGTTGAAGCTGATTTAAAGCTATTTACTATAATGAGAAACCTCAGTGAGGCAATATATCCACCATTAATCTGTCGAAAGAAAATCCACAATAGTCTGGGTATGCTCACATGAGGATAAGGACAAGAGACTTGCGAGCTATAAGTGGGAAAAATGTTCAGGAATATAAGGTGAATATTTCACACATACACACATAGATAGCAAAGATATTCAAATATCAGAAAATAGAATAATACAAAAGGAAAAAAAGAAGAGAATTAAAAATAAGTCAAAGACAAATGGTTAAAAATTGCCTCCATAGAAAGGTACACATGTACATGTCTACAAATTTGGTACTTCACCTCTGATTCGTAGTAGCCTTTGCCAGCCAGGAGGAGGCTGAGCAATATTGGGTTTACCAATTGCCTATAACTGGCTGCCATCTTGAGAGATATCTGTTGGATCATCACATGAGATATCAGGCCGACATTCACGAGCTGTTTCACAAACAAAGGGATTTTCTAAAATATGTTCATGTATTTCTTCATATTTTCATTTGTTGGTATAAGCCTCCATTTAAAACAATTGGCACACTAGACAGTGAAAGCCCCGATAGATGGCGATACTCTTTGATGATGAAAATCTTGGACCTGGTGGTGGTCAGCACTGAATAGGTCAAGTAGGGGTGGGATCAATTGCAACAGTACCACTAGCAGCGGGATCACAAAGAAACAATTGTTTAGAACCACTCCCATTTTATAGGTCACCTTCATTTTGTATCTCCAGAGAGTCATTATCTGAAGATGATAATGATGATGAAGCAGAAGAATCATCATCTATAGCTTCCTGCAAAGTACCATCCAGGTGACTTGCAAAACTTGACCCAGCAAAATCAGTTGCTTCCCTTTTCAACATAACAAAAGCTTTTTCTGGATACGACTGCATTTGAATGTCTCAACAGCCTGTCACAAGAACATAATACACTACTGAGCTAATCAAATGTAAAAAATATCATTAACTTCTTCTCAGCTATCAATATATAAGAAGCAGAATATAGGTGTTTCATCAGACCTGCTTCTATTATAGACTCCTGCTTTTACCAATATATATATATATAGGGAATAATGTGGCTAACACATACATTACATTGTTTCCGGAAACAAACAGAGAAAACTCAGTAAACAAAATCATACAGCATTGGTATGATTATCAAAACTTTCTTAGCTCTGTTGGGTTATGATGAAGAAAACACTGGTTGCTTTGATGCTTAGATTCAAAACCTGATACGATGGCAGATGATAGTGTCACCGACCGCCCACAAGTCCTAGCCCAAGAGAGTCGTGTGTCGGGATTTGCTCAAGATGGTGCAGGCAAATGATCAGAAAGGATCGAGACCAAGATCCTAAACACACATACGAGACCCTGGTATTGGAAATGAGGACTGCTCGTTGGACGGCCAGAAGAGTGGCGCTGGCACAGAAGGATTATGAACTTGATTTGTTCAAATTATTATACAAAATACTAAGATTATCATTATTAATAGGATAAAATAATAATAATTTTATATCATGTTTGATTTATATTTAAAAAGATGGATAAGGATGGTAAGAAAGATTAATATCCTCTTGATATAAGATTATTTAATTTTTTTCAAGTGGACATGATTATTTTTAATCTATTAGATTAAATTTATATATCCAATTATATTATTAAAAATTATATCAATAATTTAAATTCTATAAATTTTGAAAAATGATAACTTTGACAAACAAATAAAATTTTCTACCTTAATCCTTATATATATTAAATATAAGACAGAATAATATTATTTAATCTAATCTTATTTATAATATTATTTTATCTTATTTTATTATAATTTTGTGTACCAAACTTAATCTAAATCTTATTTGATAAGATAATATAACTAATTTTTTATTTTAAAAAATTTAAAGTTAAATTTATGATATAAAAATTATTTGATATATTAAAAATTAATTATTTAGTAGATTTTTTATTAATTTTTTATAAAAAATAGATATAATTTTATAAATATTTTCAACTGTTAAAAGTTAAAATTAAAATAATATATGGTTAAAAGAAAATAATATATGATTTTTTTGTAATAAGAAAAAAATATATAATTAGTGTAATTAAATAATATTTTTAAATAAAATTAATTTATAGCTAAAAATTTTAATTAATATATTCAACGTTATTTCATTAAAATTTTTTCTTTAAATAGTTTTTTAAAATAAATCATTAAACACGTAAAAAAAAAAAAAAACTTTCATTGTTTTACGGTAAACATCTATACTCCTAGTATTTTTTTTTTTCAATACTCGGAATAAGCTAACAAGTGCAGCCAAACAGTGGGCTTGAAACCCTCAGGTGAGTATAAAATAAACCTAAGATTAAAGAAAAAATTGAGAAAGAAGCAGAGGCAGACACATAGAGGAAACAAAGATGGGGGGAGGAATGGAGGCAAACAAAAACAGGTTCATAGAAGAATGGAACACTAAAAGAGAGAATCTGGAGGTCAACTTCCGCTGGACTCGCCGCAACTTAGCTCTCGTTGGCATATTCGGCATCGCCGTCCCCTTCCTTATCTATAAGGGCATTGTTCGTGAATTTGTAATCTCTTTTCTCTTATCTCTCTTCAAGTTTATACTAACGCATGATTTAACGATTTGGGTATGCTATGCTTCCTGCGATCTTAATTTTTATTGCATTTTAAAGTAGTTGAAATGTGGATTTGGGGATTTTGTATGAGTAATCGATTTGGGGGTGCACAATGCTTGTCGAGATTAACTGACTGACTGCGAGTCGCGACTATTGTCGTTTTAGGCGATTCATGTTTATTGGGTTCTGATTGTTTTTCCTTGGGGTTTGGTTGTTTGAAAAGGCCTTTGAAAATTCAATTTTTGTCTGAGTGAAAGATTATGCGAAGCAAAGTCCTTGGATTGGCGTTTATGTTCACTATCAATTTTCTTTTCTTTTCCCACTGGTTTTAAGTAAATTTGAGTTGGAATTTCTTTTATTTAATTTAAAATATTTGAGCAAGGATTTTGAAATCTTCTTGGACCCCTTGATTAGTTATTTATGTACTTTTTTTTTGGCTCTCTATTATGCTTATCATCATAGCACAAGAAATAAGAAGTATTTACAATTTTTTAATTAATTTTCTTTTCAAGTGCCTGAGAGTTGCATATTTTTAAGTAAGAAATTGATTTTTTTTTTTTTATGAAATTGATCATTCTTAGGGTAACATGTTTGCATATTTTAAACTACAATTAATCAAAATCACATTTTGTAGCTTATAGAAAAAAGGGGATAGGTATAGGCATCGGTTAAGGTGATGTTTAGGGAAAGAATTTTGTAATTAATGTAGTGTTGCTTCTTGAATTTGGTGACAAAAGTGAATTAAATGAAAAACCATTCCCTAAAGTACCAATTTAACTAATCATAACTAGTGTCTATTTTTATTATATGGACTCTTCAATTTATCCTAACATCTGACTTCTTGCACACTTTACTATTCATATGGGCATGTCACTTGGATCTTCAAAATTAATGTAAAAATTTGTCAAATACCATGTTGTACCTGTGTTTTACACCTTATCTCGAGTCTATGTAACATAGGTTTAACCGGGCCCTAGAAAAAAAATCACACTCATATAATTGAAATATGATAAGAAGCAAGAACTATGCCAAAAAAGCACATATTTAACATTTTATGAGACCAAAGGCTAACATTTACTTATCAATAAGTGGTATAATCAAGAGCACAATTCTTTCAAGTGGACATATTTGATACTTATAATCATGTGCTTTTTATTAACACCTGTGAAAGGCAGAACATCAGGATTTTTATTCTATTATTGCCGTAAAAGCTCATAGTCTTCCCATGTAAGCTATAACAATGAAAACCAAGGCCAATCATTCTTTGGTGTTCACTTGTCAACCATGGAACAGGTTAAAAGAAAAAAATGATAAAGGTTTGCCAAGGCAGTTCTTGGTTCTTAATGGGAGAGTATAGGAGTGTAGATTGAAAGAGAGCAAATGTTTTGCTCTGCCTTGGTAGTGAGATCTTGCACATGGCAGTTACAAGGTAGGTGAAACCAAACCCTCTTGAAAACTCTTGAATTCCTTTAAATCTGGATAATTTGATTTAACAATTTCAGCTTTTGATTCCCCTTTTACTCATCAGCATTTATTGTGATATGACTTTGAAATTAGGGAATAGTAGTTATAGCAAATTCTACTTTTCAATTTTAAATACTCTCTATTCCGCTTCCAAACAAGGAAAAGGATTGGTTTTTACTATACTCTTCTCAACATTCCAGCTGGTTACTGTATTCAATAGTCACTATGCTTTCTGGAAACTCTATCTAAGTGGTTATTGTATTCAAAGCCTACTAAAGGGATGAGGTCCATTCTGAATCATGTCAAGATCTCATGGTAGTAACTATTAGAGTGGGCTTTAGTGGACATTAACCATATACTTTCTGGGAACTCTATCTAAGTGGTAGATAGGTCCTGTTCACAGTGAAGAAATGTGTCAATTATAATATTCTTTTCACAAGAAAGTGGTAAAAAGTATGTGAAATTATTAAACTATTGTTGTAATTAGTCTTTGTTCAATATATGAACAATAAATATTGAGTAGCTAGATAAGTTGATGGCAGAAGAGAGTATGATTTCTGGGTTCTTCACTTTCATAAGGGGTAAATTGATGCACTTATTGCATATTCTTATTCTACTGTGATTTAATTATTTTTTAAAATTATGTTCACTTAGAGTATTGGTTGTCTATGGACTCTTTAGTTGATCTGACTTCTCATGTTACCCAGTTACATGAAATATAAAACTCATATTTGCACCACATGAAGTTTTATGTGAAGTTGATGTTACGTGTATTGATTAAGTGTCAATTATGTCAAATGAATGGTTCAAAAATTCTTCTTCTTGATTGTTTCACAATTGAATAACTTGGTCCCTTACATGGAAGTGGAGTTGCCTCAAGATTTGACCTGATCAGATTTTGTATTCTCAATTCCTCTCAACTTCTCTGCTGCTTTCCTCCTTGTTACACAAACTATTCATTTTACCTTAACAGGCCTTGTGCAACACTTCTTGGACACTGGACCCTCAAATTAATGTATAAAATTACCAAAAATATGACAGCTGCATCCAACATGGGATCCTGAGTCCATGCAATGTAGATCTTCGTCTCTTCCCCCAGTTTAAGTTTGTTGTTTCAATGTCTGTTAGCTGAGTTCTTATCTGCTAAATATTAGGGGTTGATTTTATGATCACATTGGAGATGTGGCATTCAAAAATGCTAAAACAGGTGTCCTTTATTCAATTGCTGGGATTGCATTTCATTGTTTGTGGTATTCCATGAGGATATTTTCTGCACATATACCAAGAGTTACTTTTACCAAATACTTTTGTTTTTTGTTTTATTGCTAAATTTTTGTTATATTTGTTTCTGTTGTTTTATTATGCTCTAAAATGCAATGTTGCTGCTATAAGATTTCTCTCTGTTGTTTATTATTATTATTATTATTGTTGTTGTTGTTGTTGTTGTTGTTGTTGTTGGTACAGGCCAAATTTGAATTCTTATTTGCTATAAGGTCACTTATTATTCAAATCTCTTAGCAGCGCAGCAAATTAATGCGCATGTTTGTGGGTCATTTTCAAGTGTAGAATCAAAATCTTCTTTTGACCATTAAATGCAATTTCTTCATCATTTCATTAAGTTGCTTGTTTTAATTCTTGGATTGTGTTGCAATATCTTGTTTGATTTCTGTCCTTTTTTTTTTTTTCAAGGTCATGTTGCCATAGGGTTTAAAATTTGTTTTCCTTCTTTATTTTCGTATGTGCATTTGTCTAACTGATTTTGTAATTCTGGCAACAGCATATGCAGGATGAAGATGCAGGTAGGCCATACAGGAAGTTCATCTGAGTTTCTCACTGCGATGCTTGATAATAAAGGTCGATGAGTAAAACCGGGTTTTCTATGGGACTATAAATTGTGTTGTTTACCCGGTTTCAAAACTTCTGTCTTTTTGTTCATCTTGACCATATCTTGTGTTTTTTCTTGTATATTTCTTGTGTACTTCTTCAACGTTTAAATTGTGCTCAAATTAAAATTAAGTGTTTGGATATTATTCACCTCATAATTAAATGTGGATTAAATATTACCAATGTTTAACAATTTTGAAATTAAAGATGTCGATGAATAGGGTACGAGGAAGGATGAATTTCAAAGATATGAGTTAGGTAAGAGAGTTGCTTTTGCTTAAGCTGATCTTTCTTTCGTAGCTTTTGCTAGAGACAAAGACAAACGGAGAATCATCCTTGTAGTTCCAATCACTTCAAGGCTTCAATGGTTGAAAATTTCTGGTTTTTTCAGCTTTCAATTCAATAGCAAAGAAGAAAATAAACGTGATTTATTTTTATTAGGTTATAGATTATAAAATCAATTTAGGATATATTAACTTTTTATAAAAAAATCGTATTTTTGCATTTGAAGTAAGATGCTTGTAAATGAAATGCATGGTTTTTTCTTTGTGGAATTCTAAAATTTTTTTTATCATAGAAACAAATGGAAATCTTATATCATTTTTGTTTGTTTTCCATAAATTAGTTAGTTATTCTGGGATTTAGGTTTCAAAATTTGGGATTATTTTTTTCTTCAAAATTGGCATATCAGCCACAAAACCTTGCCATGTTAGCCAAGAATTGCATGTTTAGCATGTCACATAAGTAAAAATGACTCGTAAGCAAAAATAATTTAATCTATCATGCGAATTAACAGCAATATATTCACTCTTTCAATTTTGTTAAAAAGAGTTTTTATTTGACTGTACACAAAAATATTTGATCTTGATTTAATTTAAATTAAATGTTACATCCTTAATTGAGAATTAACTAAATGTTTAATCCTACAATGAGCATTTAGCCTTTTTCAATATTCTATTTCATATTTACAAGCTAACGTAGTAAGTGTTTTCTGGTGCAGTTTTTAATCTACTATGTGTTTAGAAAGTTGAATTTGTAGATGACATGCTCCCTAATTTTGTAAGCTTGGGAAACATTTTGGTAACTTAAGGTCACGTGAAAAGAAAAGCCTTAGGAAACACAAATCCAAATTGATTTGTTATTTTTGTAGTGGTGGTAATTGGATGGGTTGATTTGTGTTTAGCTTTGGTTCAAATGTTGAAATTTGGGTTCGGTTCATTTTTAATTTTGTTAAGATAATGTTAAAATTAAATTGGTATGGTTTTTTTTTTAAATAATAATAATTCAATAAGTTCAAGTAATTTCTTACATTAATTATATTGATTATGTTTAATTAAATTAAAATTCATAAAAGAAAAAAAATACATATTATGCTTAATTTAAGCTTTAAACTTAGATTAAGATTAGGTTTCGATTTAAACTAATCTAGAATCTGGTTGTATTGGGTTTGGGTAGGGTTTAGGGTACAGTGAATTTTCTAAAGTTTACTCAAGGCAAAATAAAATAAGATAATATTTTTATAATATAGAAAACAATATAACAAAATTTGAGAGGGATATTGCATCCTCCCCACCTTTAAAAAATTTGGTCCTTCAAATTTAAAATCTCATTAACCCGAAATCCAACACATCCTTTGACTAATATCGAATACTTCTCAAAAACCATATTGTATAGTCAAATAAGCATCCCAAAAATTTCTTAAAATCATTTACCTAATAATCAAGTCAAAACACATATCAATCCAAGTCTTGTACTACAAACTTTCCAATCTCAATTCATGTATCAAGCAAGATGCAATTATCAAAAGTATAAACTCTCTAAACTTCCACATGAAGGGATGTACAAAATACTTGTTTCTTAATTCTGAATGATGATTGAGCAAATGAACTTCAATACAATTTTCACTACCAATGTCAAACATAACAAACTTGCCATTTTTTTTTTTTTTTTTTTTTACCAATGAAACCTATAGGCTGAGTCACTAATTAAGTTATAATTACTTGGGCTTGGGTATTAGATACTCCCTCACTATAAAAAATTTGGTCCTCCAAATTCAAAATCCGTTCATCAAAGTTTATTGTTTCAATTTAATGTCACATTACATTTTCCTCCTGAAAAGATTCATGGTGTATCACCTTAATATCTTCAATCAAATCTTCACCTTATTGTCTTTATTGTTTCTCCACCAATAGGAGCTCATAATGATATTCATTTCCTGGCAAAGGCTTTTAGGGAAAAGAAAGCACAACATAGCATAGGCAGACTTTGATTGCAAAACTGCCTTTATAAAGATCTCCTTACCACCCACCGAGATCCATCTGTGGCTCCAATTTCCTATTCTCTCCCTCATATTGTCTAGCACCCATATGCAAGCTCGTCTCTTAGTCCTCCCAACAAAAATTGGCAAACCCAAATAGTTTTCTAGATTTACAATCATCTGAATATCAACCAGTTGCTTGATCTCCACCTGTTTGTCATTGTCTGTATTAGTGCTGAAGAATAAGCCCGATTTCTCGTAGTTTATCTTCTAACCCCATCCCTCCTCATAGATCTTTAGGAGAACCCTCACCCTTTCACATTCGGTTACATTTGCTTTAATAAAAAGTATATTGTCATCTACAAAAAAATTTGTGAGTAATTCTCGGGCCATTCATACTGGCTCGGAGACCCTTCAATAGCCCATCTCTTGGATACTTGTTTAAAAAGGTTGATAAACCCTCCAAATATAATAGAAACAAGTACAATGATAGAGAGTCTCCCAGCCTCAGCCCCTTTCGGGAATTATAACATCTGATATCAGCCCATTTAAAAAAAAATTTGTAAGAGACAGGTTTAACACAGTGCATAACAACTGAGATCCATTTATCACAAAAACCCATCCTTCTCATAACCGACTCGATGAAGCTCCATTCTATCCTATCGTAAGCTTTGCTCTTTCAGTATCATGATATATAATAGCTCATAAGCCATAAAGGTATTATCCATGATCTGTCTTCCCCGGACGAAAGCGCTTTGATTCTCACTTATACAGAAGGGTAAAACTTTTTTTAATCTGTTAGCTAAAGCTTTTGCAATGATTTTGTAAAGAGCGTTACAAAATCTTATCGGACGAAATTGGATCATTTTAGTGGGTTGTTTTGTTTTGGGTACCAGTACTACGTTTGTATCATTAATCTCCTCAAAACTGTTCGCATCATTTAAAGCACCAAGACAAAATTTGTTCAGATCTTGTCCTACAACATGCCAAAAGGAGTGATAAAAACTTGCAGACTTACCATCAGGGCCTGGGGCCTTGTGAGGATGTATTTGATTACTGGCTTTAGAAATTTCTTCTGCATTAAATTGGCGTGTAAGGAAGTCATTCATCCCCACTGTCAATTTCAGAGAAATGGCCTCTAATATTGCATCTTGATTTGTGTGCCCACTTGTTTTGAATAGATCAGCAATGTAGCATATGGCATGGGCTATTATACTCTCATGACCAGACGCCTTCATCGTCCACAAGCCTTTTGACCATATTAGTTCTCCTCCTTTGAGTGGCCTGCATGTGAAAGAATTTAGTATTTTTGTCGCCTAGTCTAAGCCAATTTGTCCTTACCCTCTGCATCCACATCATTTCTTCTTTTTCCAGCAATTCATTTAGCTTTGTTTTAATGGCCATCTCTTTTTCAGCGACTTCCTGGCACCATGCTTGATTGTTTAGCTCACCTAGTTGTTTTTGCAGGTCCACAATCTCAGTTCTTAAACCGATAAGTTTCCTTCTTCCCCACGCCATTAGCCTCCTCCCCACAGCCTCCACTTTTTTTACTAGGTCCCAGACCTTGTAATGGTTCCATGCCGATTCCATCAACACTCTGCCTTCCTCGTCTTTTAACCATGCAACATCCACAAACTTGCGTTTATTTCATCCTTTGCTTGCCTTCCAATTCCTTCCTACCGTGTCAACGATAATACGACAATGATTAGAAACTGAGCTAACCAGATGTCTCACCACATAATTTGGAAACAGCTCTCCCCAGGCACTACATGCAACAACTTTATCAAGTCTTTCCCTTATCACATTTTCCATGCATCGACTCCTTCTCCATGTGAACTTCGGCCCCACGTAACCAATATCATAAAGACCTGTTTCTATTGTTAGAAAAAAGTAAATAAGAGAATATAGTAAAAGAATTTTGATTTTAAGGCATAAAAATATTTTTTAAAAGTTAATTATGTTTTAGATGTAACAAAGTCTTAAACTTTTTAATTAAAAATAATAAAATAATTATATTAAAAAATTTATTTATAATAAATGAATAAATATAAATTTTTATTCAAATAATTATAATATTTTATATAATCATAATTTTTATTATTAATAATTTATTTATATTCAAAAATTTATAATCATTTATCATATTATAATTATTTTTATTCAAACATAATTATTTAAAATATAAATAAAATTAATATAAAAATTAATTTTATTTATTAATAATTAAATTTTTTATCAAATATGAAATACATCACATCTTAACCTGTCAACGTCTACAAGAGTGGATGTGAAGTTGCTTATCTGCCATTTTGGTCGAATGTTTCCCTCTTCCTTGTCGTTGTCCTAGAGAATCTCATTAAAATCTCCAAGGCATAACCGTGCCAAGTCGTTGTTTTGAGCTAACCTACTTAGCATATTCCATGCTTGTTCTCTTACTCTTACTTTTGGTTCGCCATAAAACCCCATTAGCCTCCACATCTTCCCTTCCTGCTCCGTGACTTTCATATCTATGTGATATTTTGAGAAGCTCTGCAGCTCCATTTTAACTTCCTCCTTCCACATCATACCAGGACCACCACTCCTCCCAATTGCATCCACCGCCACCATTCCTTGCATATTTAACTTCATTTTAATTTTCTCTAACCTCCTAATATTTACAATGGTTTCACAAAGAAAAAGCACTTCGGGATCTTCTTTCTTCCGCCTGAAGGACATAAATTGCCTATGGGTTTTCAAGCCCACGGTAGTTCCAAGCCATACACCTCAGCGGGACTGGTACCCAATCTCCGCTGTTTGATCATTCTTGTAGTTGGATGGTTAATTCTCAATCCTCCTACTATGCTTATGACTCGTATCTATTTCCATGTTGCAAACACCGTCATAGCCATGCTTTCTTTTTCCCAGATTCTATCTTGACCTC